TAAGTCGCTAATCCGTTGTATTCAATCGAAACGCCGACTCGAACGACAGGCTCGAAATCCTTTTCGATTGATCATAATCTAAACGCTCACTTGGTCGTAGAAAGGGCGATGATGATGAGCTATGGTGCGGGAAACATTCATTTAAATTCAAGGCGGATGAAGACATGGTTGAAAAAATAGATAGCCTTTGTCGTTGCTCGTATCTTACTAAAAGTTTGTGAGCAGGCTTTTTGCACACAACTACAGGTCTTAGAATGACGTCGCTCGACCGACTCTTGTGTTCAATTTTTTTTAAACTCTCAACGAGCTCGGCTATCAATTTTCCGCGCATGGACGCACCAATAGAAAAAGTATATATGGATAGTATGACAAGTGAATCGGTCTCCCAATGGAGGTGAAGAAAACAAAACCCAGTAGGAATATCACTATCTGTGCCTTCATAAACAAGCTTAACAAGTGTGGCTTTTCCTAGACTCATTGAGCACCAAGCAGTCAGCAGTTGTGATAAATATATGGTAGCAACTTGTCGTCGCGCCTTGTTATTATCAGTATCCTCTGTCTGAGATCTAGAGTTGAATTTACCCTGATTTCGTTTGGATGCAGTTGAGCGCAAAATCAAAGCACCCTTCCATTCGTCAAGTGTCGAAGGATGTCCGAGTAGAGCTTGAGAAAGATACTGCCAATAATTACTAGGCAAATCTGGAGTTGAATGAAATTGAGAGCTCGGATTTCTAGCAGCGGCGTACAAAAACTCTCCTGCACGACCTCCTAAAAGTGTTTGTGCTAAAATTTGCTTGGTATTGAATGCAGAATAGATCTTTGTAGCTTCATCTGCCTCTACTATTCCTTTGATGAATGCATCTAGCTGGAGTAGTTTCTCATGAAAGCTGGTCTTATCCGGCCCAAGCTGTTCAATGCATTGAACGTTAATAAACACAATAGCAAGAGAATGGTGTGCCAAAACATTAATTTCAATGCGGAGTGGCTTGTCAGACACATCATGTGTTGACAGTGGTCTACGTGCTGCATCTGTGATGGGAACAGATACCTTGACGGTGTACATAATAGTAACGTTTGGAAGCCATGGCATGGACATGGCAATTTCAACTTTTTCCGTATTGCGGCTAGATCGTCGAGATGGATGGATACTCTCAATACGAAATCCTTCTCTTAAGCGAACAGCCACTAGATTTGACAATCGAATATTAGTAACAACATAGTCGCGAGATCCACATAGTAGCTCTGCAATTGCCGAAGGTTTCGAGTCTAATGTCCACGGAAACAAAAACTCTTCGTTGGTGATGGCATCCCCTGTTTCGACATTTGTATGAATGATTTTAGAGCGAGTTGAATCGACAGGTCGTTCACGAATACTGCCAGTCACTGAAAATGAAGTAGGACTGTCTTCATGAACACTGCGCCGATTAAGATTAATTTCGCGGATAGTAAACATACAATGATATATATTGGCACGCATGGGAGGCTGGTTGAAAACTTTTCCAAAAACAGATGTCGATATTGACGAGTTTTTGCCAATCACATCTCCCTTGTTATCAGTGTTTGTGATGTCAGACATATAAGGACAGTCCGAGTCATACATGAATACACCAAACAAAGCTTGGGCAATGAATCTAAGAAACTCGGTATTTGGAACATAACCCAGACTGACTTGAGGTAAAAATCCATCAGAGGATCCAACTTGAATGATGTTGACTCTGGTAAAATCACGCACAATTCTGCGATGAATGTGCCGAGGTATGACATCTTTAGATCCCCACTCTGGCGAAACACCATCAGTTACATATATGATGGCAGGCATAGCATCGCTTGGAAGGAGTTCTAATGCAAGCAGCCCAGCGTCAAGCGTGCTAAATGCATTTCTAGTACTAAACCGGTTATTATAAGACTCATTTAAATGAAAACCTCCTTGAGTTGCAGATTTTTCTGATGCTCCGGGTGACAAGGACATGCAATCAATGGGATCATTTGTAAGTTCCATTTGAACCTCGTTTGGCATCACACCAGCAGTAGCCAGTTTTACAGGATCCTTGGATTTGCGTTGTCCACGACTGAGTAGAACATTTTCAAACGCAATAATAGAATCATATAGTTTTTCTGCTATACACATGAGATTCTTTGTGGTTACTTCAACTTCCTGCAGTAACACTCTCAATGGCAAATCCTCATTTGCAGAGATTGAAGAATGGCCCGAATTTCCTGCATCTGCAATCACCGTGACAATAAGCTTTGGCTCAATCTATGAGTTGGTTAATATTTCAATCAACGGATTAAACATTTTGACGAGTCAACTTTTTAGAATCCAGTTTTCACGGCTTATAATATACAACATGCTACTCACAAAAGTGCGCAATCCAGTCCATGGCTGTAAAATTGAAAATGGTCGAACAAGCCCATCAAAGCATTTGCATATTCTATATATCAAGTAATGGGACTTATGATTATGAGATGGTACTCTACAGACAGATTTGGATCTAAAACTAGATATTGCTAAAATGAATAGCAAGCATATTTTACATACGTATCGAAAGCAGCAGATAAAAGCACTTTTGGTCTTCCAGAAGTATCAACAACAGACATGGAAGGAGAGGTATCTAATAAAACAACTAATCGCTGTTTAGCAGCAAATGTCAATATTGAAGTTTCAGGAGTCAGTCGGAGTCGACGATTGACAGACCAGACAGGAAAAGTTGATGATAATCCGGTTCGATCAGATGCTGTAGTCGAGGTTTGTCCAATGTTCGGATTCATCCATTCAAGAGTCTTTGAATCCAAAGAAATATCCATGACTGCCAGATTATCAGACTATTCATGTATTAATGATTAGCATTGAATTCAACTCCATCTGATTAACGCCAATACTAGCAAAGCCATGAGTTTGCTGACATGACAACTGAATTCATGTTTGAAATAGCAGTTTCTACAATAATCCGTAACTATAAGTTACCTCCCATTCCTGAATGGTGCGAGGCACTAGCATATGCTGAAGCACCCAAGCATCCAGATCAATTCTACTGAATAAAGCAGGATTGACGATCTGCAGTACAACAACTTTAGGCTCAGCTATGGTAGTCTGTATAGATGTGAAAGAGCGATATAGTATGGTCAGCATTAAATTATACAATGTAGATACACTTGATAGAGCTTAGTCTGCTTCACCTGCAGCATTAACAGTCGTAAATTTATTCTGTTGGTCAGACTGGAGCAAACAATAAATCTACAATAAGTCTGCAATCAATGTTCCTGGAAGCAGTTAATAACAAGAATTTATTTACATTTCTTTTAGAATTACTTGAACTATATTACAGAATCAGCGTATACGTCAATCCAGTGCTTATTGCTGCAATAGTGAGCGCGGCAAAGCGACTGAATGAGCTGGCTGATGATAGAATAGGTGCAGAATTGTTGGAGGATCCACCAATTTGATTACTAGGAATAAGTACGCCTGATGGAATGTTCTCCATTGGACTCTTTCCAGCACTTGTCTCGGTAGAAGGAGCAATAGTTTCATTGGTTACCGATGGAGCTTGAGGAAGCGACGCGACGGTTGGTGGTATGCTAGAGTTGGCATCTGTTGGGCTAGAAAAACTACTCGACCATGTTTGTGTGGATTCATTGGATGATTCCCATGTTTGTGTAGATTCATTGGATGATTCCCAAGTCTGTTTTGGTGAGCTGGACCAAGTCTGTGCAGATTCATCACCATATCGACCTTTCCTTCCATGATGACCTCTGGAATGTCCTTTGCGTTTTTCATCGTTGGAATCATCATTTGAATCATCGTTCGAATTATCATTTGAATCATCATCGTTGGAATCATCAGAATTGGTGGAAGAATCGGGCTGATCGTAGATGCTGCCGCTTGATTCAGATGTGCTAGTTG